TCCTCCTCCAGCAGCGCGGCGAGCGCTTCCTTGTCATCCGAGTCCATCGCTGAGGCAGACAAATCGCCGAACACCTTGCGCTCGGTGGGCGTGTACCCGCCGCTAAATCGTGCCTTCGCGGCCGGAAACGGCGGCCGGAAACGCCCAGCTGTTGTTGGAGGGGCTGCCGCGGCGAAGCGCTGCTATTTTTCCGGCAGGGAATGGCTATCTAGTGGTGTAGGGCGGCGGGCGGCGCCGGGATATAGCTACTGGTGGCCGAGGGCGCGAGGGGTGGGAGGCGAGTCGGGGAAGAAAACCTTGACTTTTCCCCTGATGGTGTGGGCCAGCCACGCTTTTCCCTTGCGCCGGAGCCCCCAACTGCTCCCCAGTGCGCCGGGTTCGGCTTGTGACCGCCGGGCGGAAAAAAGGGCCGAACCGGCGATTTTCGGCGTCCTGGGAGAGCGACTGGGGCGTTTTTTCCGTGCCGGCGCCGAAAAAGTGGCCTGGGGAGGCCTGTTGGGGGCGCGGCTGGAGATGCTCTAAGGAGGAGGGTCCAAAGATTATCACCAGAGTTAGCATCACATCAACCAACGATGATAGCAACAACGACCTAGCAGCCAACGATAATGGTCAGCCACCATTAGTGGATATAGTGAGAGCCCTTAAGCCGAGGATGGTGATTCTCAAGGATGCTCTCAAGGCGGTGAATGAGATGGTGGAGGAACTCGAGTCGAGCGAAAGAAGACCATACATGTTGTGCTCAACTCCAGCTCCTCATTCATTGCACGGATAGTATCTTGAGAGTCGTCATCCTTGAACGGAGGGCTCTCGTCTTCACTAACGTTAAGTGAACATCATCCTTGGTTGCTAGGTTGTTGTTGCCATCATTATTCGTTGTTTTGTTGCTAACTCTAATGGTAACTTTTGGATCCTCCTTAGAATTGACATCACAGTTAGTTGTCGTCACCTCGTACACAGAAAAATAAGATTTTTTAGTAACAAATAACAAAATGACCAAAGGAATAAATGGGCACTACTCCTTGCATGCATTTGATAGAAAAATTACGCCAAAAAATCACAAGGCTGATGACTAGGGCGTCCTCGACCTTAAGGCTATGTTGTTCGCAAAGTCTTTCCACCCACCACTGAGTCCATCCCTGGTGACAAGATATTTCACAGAGTATTTTGTCAGTAGGGATGGACTCAGTGATGGGCAGAAAAACTTTGTGGAAAAGCATAACCTTAAGGTCGACGGCACCCTAGTCATCAATTGCCTTGCATGCATTTGATCAATTGCCTTGCATGCATTTGATAGAAAAATAACGCAAAGAAATCACAAGGCAATTGATGACTAGGGTGTCATCGACCTTAAGGCTATGCTGTTCTGCAAAGTCTTTCCGCCCACCACTGAGTCCATCCCTGTGAAGTATCTTATCATCAGGGATGGACTCATGGTGGGCGGAAAAACTTTTTGGAAAAGCATAGCCTTAAGGTCGACGAAACCCTAGTCATCATTGTCTTGTCATTCCTTTGTGTTATTTTCTGTTGAATGCATGGCATAAGCAGTGTCGATTAATCCCTTGGTCAATTTATCACTGAAAATTCCTATTCTTTCCTATGTGTATATAGGAAGAGAGGATGAGGTGATGACAACTGATTGTGATGTCAACTCTAAGGAGGAGGATGCTCTCGAGACGGTGAATGAGATGGTGGAGGAACTCGAGTCGAGCGAAAGAAGACTATACATGTTGTGCTCAACTCCAGCTCCTCATTCATTGCACGGATAGTATCTTGAGAGTCGTCATCCTTGAACGGAGGGCTCTCGTCTTCTCCACTAACGTTAAGTGAACATCATTCTTGGTTGCTAGGTTGTTGTTGCCATCATTATTCGTTGTTTTGTTGCTAATTCTAATGGTAACTTTTGGATCCTCCTTAGAATTGACATCACAGTCACAGTCAGTTGTCGTCACCTCGTACACATAGGAAAAAATAATATTTTTTAGTAACAAATAACAAAATGACTGAAGGAATAAATGGGCACTGCTCCTTGCATGCATTTGACAGAAAAATTAAATCACAAGGCTGATGACTAGGGCGTCCTCGACCTTAAGGCTATGTTATTCTGCAAAGTCTTTCCACCCACCATTGAGTCCATCCCTGATGATAAGATACCTCACAGAGTATTTTATCAACGTGGATGAACTTAGTGATGGGTGGAAAAACTTTGTGGAAAAGCATAACCTTAAGGTCGACGACCCTAGTCATCAATTGCCTTGCATGCATTTGACAGAAAAATAACGCAAAGAAATCACAAGGCAATTGATGACTAGGGTGTCACCGGGGATGGACTCAGTGGTGGGCGGAAAAACTTTGTGGAAAAGCATAACCTTAAGGTTGGCGAAACCCTAGTCATCATTGCCTTGTCGTTCCTTTGTGTTGTTTTCTGTCGAATGCATGGCAGAAGCAATGTCGATTAATCCCTTGAGAAAATTCCTTATTTAACACTGTCTTAAAATCTGGTTCCTTATTTGACACTGAAAAAGTTATTCTTCCCTATTTGACACTGGAAAAGTTATTCTTCCCTATTTGACACTAGTCCTAAATTTTATTCCCTATACGACACTTCTGTCCATTTTGAGCCTAAATGACACCTTTAAAGACGATTTTGCCCCTCATGCGGTATGTGTGTGCGCGCATGTGTGTGCTGTTGCGTGTGTGGGTGCACGCGCACATGTGTGCTGCCGCTGCATGTGTGTGTGCATATGTGCTGCAGTGTGTGTTTGCTACTGCGTGTGTACGTGCGCGCGCGTGTGTGTGCTGTTGCGTGCCTATGTGCTGCCTGTGTGTGCTGCTGCTGCGTG